AGGAAAAAGAAAAAAAAAAGAACAAATAAAAAGCCCCTTTCCCAGGGAGAAAAGGAAAACAATAAAATAAGGCAGAGGAGATGCAGATCGCCCACCGGGCCCCGGAGGGGAGCCCTGCGCTCAGACCGGCCCCCGCCCCCGAGGCCCGCTTCCCCGCCTTCTCTCTGCCTCTCGGTTCGCTGCCCCAGGCCGGGCGGCCGGTTACCTTGATGCGCTCCCGGCACTGGGATGGGGTCCGTTCGTAGCCCAGCTCGGCCAGGGCCCGGGACACGCGCTCGTACATGGCTGGCCCGGGGGCCTTGCTGCCGAACACCGTGCCGGCTCCCTCCAGCTGCTGGTACCGCGCCTCCACCAGCCGCTCGTTGCCCCACACTGCGATGAGCGCGTTCGTCTCGGCCGGCGTCCACGACATGCCCCGGCAGGCGGCGGCGGCCGCGGCCGCACCTCCGCCGCTGCCGCCACCAGGGGAGAAGGAGACCGAGGCCGAGGCGGCGCTGCGGGCCCCCAGCCCCAGCCCGAGACCCCCGGACGCCGCTGCGCCCGAGCCTGCCGCACTGCCTGGCCCGAGCGGGGAAGCGCCCCGAGGCGTGGAAGGGTCGGACAGCGATGGATTCCCGTCGCTCAAGCCGCCAGGGGAAGCCGGGGAGAGCACCTCCATCTTAGGGATTTTTAGCGGCGAGTTGGCGGGCAGCTCAGAGCCACAGGGCGCAGCCATCTTCCAAGCGGCCGCCGCTACACCGCCCGGAAGTGACGCGCCCGCACTTCCGGCCACCGCGGTCTCCGGCGGTGCCTTAGGGCCTGGTTCGCCGGCGGCTGGGCGGCGGTGGACCGCGGCTGCGGAGGGTGCGGCGGCCGGGCTGAGGCCTTCTGCAGCGCCCGGTCTTTCCCCACGAGCTCTCCCGCGCCACCCGCTCCTCTCGCGGGGCGAGGGGCGGGAACGAGGCGCGCCGGAGGCCCGAGCTGGGGAGGAGGGCGGGGGCATGCGGGCGCTGGAGTGAGGAGCCGGCGGGAGCCTTCCCACTTCCTCTCGGGTCTCGGCCCCGAGAGGAGGGGGTGAGGCCCGAGAGGGGGCTCGGAGTTGAGGAGAAATTGGCCGTCTTCTCTCTCTCCCCTCTCGCCCTCCCTCTGCCTGTCTTCCCCAGAAACCGGCCCCCAGGTAACTGAGGCCCAGGGTGGTAGACGCCAAGGGACGGAGGTATCGTTCGTACGAAATAGCTTTCCAAGGAAGCTTAAGCGCACTTTATGGAGAAGAGTGACTTCTGGGTTTTGCCAGTTTGTTTCCTTGCAGTGCTGGGGGTGGACCCCAGGGCCTCAGCCGCGCTAGCCATGCGTTCCGCCGCTCAGCCACACGCCCCAGCTCCTGATTCCGCTTAGGAGCTGTTTTCCTGTTAGTCTGGGTAGGTATGACTGGTTGCAGAACAATTCGATGTTGTTATCCCATATGTACAATTTGAAACTTGAACATATACGGACTGAGTGTAGCAGAAAAGTTACTTTCCGGGGCTGGGAAGTTGGCTCAGTGGTAGAGCGCTTGCCTTGCATGTCTGAGGCCCTGGGTTCGATTCCTCAGCACCACAGAAGCAAAAAGCCGGAAGTGGCACTGTGGCTCAAGTGGTAGAGCGCCAGCCTTGAACTGAAGAGCTGAGGGACAGCGCCCAGGCCCAGAGTTCAGGCCCCACGACCAGACCCCCCCCCAAGAAAAAAAAAGTTACTTTCCAATGCCATTCTCTAACTTCAGTGGGTTGGGAATTGCTAGTTTATACTATCAAGTGTAAGATTGAAAAGAAGACTCAGTTATGGCCCGATCTTTGGCTTCTTTTAATAGATTAGTATTTTAGTCACTCCATAGTGTTCCTTAAAGTGCTGGAACTTAAAAGAATGGTTGTACACCAAGTCCAGAACATAACTGTAAAAATACTTAAATTTTCCTTCAAAACTGTGAAATCTTTTTTTATCTTGGATCATTAACTTTAAGGCCTGATAGCTTAAATAAGATTAATTGGACTTTGCCAGAGAACCACGCAGACATCCAGGTAAAGAGAACAAAGAAAGGTTTATTGCTAGGAAAGGGGGGCCGGCAAGACTCCTTCTCACTAGGGAGGAATGAGAAGAAGCACCGGCTATTGTAGGGTGACCTATATAACCTAGGGGGTTTAGGAGGGGCTAGGAGGGGGAGACCCTAGTGTGGAGTGTGGGTCAGGGGCTTCATTATGGCAGACTAGGATTTATGGCTGCTATCCAAATGGCAGATAAGGGTCCTGCAACTGCCCAGACCTGAAGGTCACTTTTAAGAGGCTCTTGTTGCCTTATATGGTGGTAGCTGCCCCAGAGAAGTGCCATCCCAAGGTAAAGGAGGGCTGAAGTTGACTATTGATTGCCTTTACTACATGGGCCTGGTGTTGCCTAGGAAAGAGTCGCGTTAAGCTGTGGAGAAGGAAGGAGTGAACTAAGCGATGGGAAGGGACTCACTTTGCTAACAAAACCTCAGTGAGTTTTGTTTTTCAAAACAGACTTGAAACTGAAGCTAATCATAAATATAAACAAATCAGTGTATTTTTAAATTATAAACACATATTAGGTTTTTTACAATAAAAAAGGTCAGCCACCTTTTAAACACTAGAATATGTCCATGTTAGTTGGAAAGCAAAAGACTAAAGCATTAGGCAAAACTGAAGTTGGAGTTAAATGTGTCATATTAAAATGCCACTATAATTTATAAGAGTGTAAACAAGCTGAAGGAATTTCCAAAATTTATGTTCTCTGTCTTTTTTACTAAGAGCAAGTCTTAACACCTTGGTTTCAAATATGGATTTTAGGGCTGGGAAGGTGGCTCAGTGGTAGAGTACTTGCCTTGCATGAATGAGGCCCTGGATTCAATTCCTCAGTACCACATAAGCAGACCAGAAGTGGTGCTGTGGCTCAAGTGGTAGAGCGCTAGCCTTGAGCTGCAGAGCTGAGGGACAGCGCCGAGGCCCAGAGTTCACACCCCACTACCAACAACAACAAGAAGCAAGGGCATATCCTACCACTAAAATGTGGAATTTAGCCAGGCACTGGTGGCTCACTCTTGTAATCCTACTCAGGAGGCTGAAAACAGGATTATGGTTCAAAGCCAGCAGGAAAGCCTGTAAGATACTTATCTCCAGATAACTAGCAGAAAGCCTGAAATGGAGCTGTGCTTAAGTGGTAGAATGCTAGCCTTGAGCAAAAAGAAAATCAGGGACGGGCTGGGAAGGTGGCTCGGTGGTAGAGTGCTTGCCTTGCATGCATGAGGCCCTGGGTTCAATTCCTCAGCACCACATAAGCAAAAAGAAAAAAGCCAGAAGTGGTGCTGTGGCTCAAGTGGTAGAGCGCTAGCCTTGAGCAGAAAAGCTGAGGGACAGTGCCCCAGGCCCAGGGTTCAGGCCCCACGACCAGACCCCCCCCCCAAGAAAAAAAAAGCAACTCAGGGACATTGTACAGGCCCTGAATTCAAGCCTTGGGGCTGCACCAAAAAAGCAAGGGACAGAGGAAAGGTACAGGGGGTGGGGAGAGGCCAAGCAATCACAAGGCCCTGAGTTCAAACTTATCAGCACACACACACATACACACACACACAAGAACATAGATTCTAGAGTCAGAATGCCTGGCTTCAAACTTCAAGTCTGCTACTTGACCACTTTAGGGGAGCTGAGTATTAGAGTAGTAACCCCAGTGACTCACATGTTGGATAAGCACTCAGACACTGAGCTACATCTCCAGATCCTTCAGACAAGTCCTTAACCAACCTCTCAGTGCCACAGTTTCTTAGGAAATAAGGTTAATTTCACTGCAGAATTGAAAGAATTAAATAAATTGATATAGGTAAAATCCTAAAAGTAGTGTCTGGTTCATAGTAAAAATTATTTGAGGACTCTAGTAGAATTTCAAATATTAATCAAAATTTACTCTCTTGTTTGGCCCAAAATTAAAGTGTCATGAGGCATTTAGTATGTTTGAAAGGAGATTCATCCCTAAATAATATGCCAAGCAGATTGAAGAATTTTAATTTATTAAAACAATTTATTGATGGGCACTGGTGGCTCATGCCTTTAATCCTAGCTACTCAGGAGGCTGAGATCAGAGGATTGTGGTTCAAAGCCAGCCTGGGCAGGAAAGTCCGTGTGAAACTCTTATCTCCAGTAAACCACCAGAAAACCAGAAGTGGCATTGTGACTCAGTGGTAGAATCCTAGCCTTGAGCTGAAAAGCTGAGGGACAGCACCCAGGCCCAGAGTTCAAGCCCCACAACCCACACACACACACAAAAAAAATTATTAAAACCACCAGTGTATGTATGTGTACTTCACACCTGAGAAAAATCCTCTTACTTGCCTAACTGCATGGTTCTCAAATCAACTCTAACTCATACATGAAGCCTTCCTAGATAAAGTAAGTTGATTTAGAGATCTCTTGTCCAACAAATTGTTATTAGCCATTTCTATATTCCTTCCCTTTCCCCTTTCCATACTCATTTGTCTACCTAATGAGAAAAGGCTGTATCAAAAATTAAATCTCCAGCTGTGTGCCAGTGGTTCTCACCTGTAAGCCTAACTACTCATGAGGCTGAAATGTGAAGATCAAGGTTCAAAGCCAGCTCTGACAGAAAAGTCAAGATTCTTATTTCCAGTTAACTACCAACAAGCCAGAAATGGAGCAGTGGCTCAAGTGGCAGAGCTCTAATCTTGAGCAAAAAAGCTAAAGGATAGTGTCTAGGCCCTGAGTTCTAGCCCCAGGACTGGCACAAGAAATAAATTCTCCAGGGGCTGGGAAGGTGGCTCAGTGGTAGAGCGCTTGCCTTGCATGCCTGAGGCCCTGGGTTCAATTCCTCAGCACCACATAAGCAAAAAGAAAAAAGCCGGAAGTGGCGCTGTGACTCAAATGGTAGAGTGCTAGCCATGAGCTGAAGAGCTGAGGGACAGCACCCAGGCCGAGAGTTCAGGCCCCACGACCGGACCCAAAAAAAAAAGAAAAAAATTCTCCAGTAACATCCCAAATGTAAAATTAAGCCAATAATAAAAAGCTATTGGTATATGTTATACAATATTTAATCACTGCTATACAGTATTGAGAAACAAAATAATGTGTTTGTCATGCTGATCCTGGATTTTTGAGAAAGTATGAGGTGTTGGTTCAAAGTTTTGTAGCTTGAATTTATGGTATAGTTTGAACTCATAGTATGAATTTATATAAGCCTATTAGAAATAATGTGCGCTGGGCTGGGAACGTAGCTCAGTGGTAGAGTGCTTGCCTTGTATGCCTGAGGCCCTGGGTTCGATTCCTCAGCACAACATAAGCAAAGAGAAAAAAGCCAGAAGTGGCGCTGTGGCTCAAGTGGTAAGGCGCTAGCCTTGAGCTGAAGAGCTGAGGGACAGCATCCAGGCCCAGAGTTCAGGCCCCACGACTGGCCCCCCCCCAAAAAAAAGGATTTTGTGTTCCTTTTTTACCCTTGCTTCCCTTTGTTGTTTCCAATTGGTTAAAATTTTGAGAGGTTCCAGTGACTCACCCCCGCCCTCCGTAATCCTAGCTACTTAGGAGGCTGAGATCTGAGGATCAAGGTTCAAAGCCAGCCTGTGCAGAAAAATCCATGAAACTCTTACCTGGTAGAGTGCCAGCCTTGAGCACAAAAGATAGAGTGCCCAGGCCCTGAGTTCAAGCCCTGATACTGACACCAAAAAGGTTTTTTTTTCTTTTTTTGTCTGTCATAGGCTTGAAC